TTCTCGACCTTGAAGTCATCCGCAATTGAACAGCCCCCGAGAATAAAGCTTTTCAAGGGGGGTCGGGGGCCGGTTCGGTGCAGCCACTTCGGGAGAAGCCATCTCGAGAACAACCATTTGGGGAGTGGCCGTTTCGGTACCGGCGGCCGGATGGGAAGATGAAGAGGCAGCTCGTTGAGGAACTGACTTGGAAGTTTTAGCCATTACTATTTGAGAAAGCGTGAAAATTTAGAGAAAAAGTATGGAGATTTGAAGGAGCAAGTTTAAAGGCTGAAGAAAAGCGTATGAAGACTTAAAGGTAAGATGAAGATCTGGAAAAAAACCTAAGAACAATTGTAGAAATTTGAAGGTCTAAGATGGAGATATGAAGGTTTGAAAGAGTTGGTAATAACTAGAAGATTCGAAGGTGGAAGCTGGATCGAAAAATGAAAAAAGACAAAGGGTAGAAGATTTTATAGGGGAATCACGCGACGTTTCACATTCGGAGACGATCGATCGATGGTTTACGTGTGTCCAAAATCAGAGTGACACGACTGATGGGACGTTTCGGCTTTTTCGTCGTTTCGGTTGTAACGTACGGAGGAAGGAACCAGAGAACATATAGGCAAACCTACTCACTGAGAAATGAGGGAACTATCTGTATACGGGTAAAACTGAGGCTAATGAGCACCCCCGATTTTCTGGTGGGGCAAATGAAGCAAGAACATAACTACAAAGAATCGGAATCGAGGCTAGGAACCTCTCGTACTAAGAGCCTACCACCAGAGCCATCGAGACCGTGGCCCCGGATTCGGTTCGAGCCCCATGACTCTAGAAAACGCTACAAAGCAGTTGCACACGACTAGCGAAGGGGCCGTGATATCCGCGCCCGACTGAATATCACGGCGTGAATCTCGGCCCGTATTGATAGCAGATCAGTGATTAACAATTTTTTTTTTTTACCTTTCTTAGAATTGTATTGGGACGAAACTCTCCTACTATATAAAAGAGATATTTTTTATTCAAGAGGGATACTATAACACGCATATCAAGTCAATATAAACTTATTTTCTCTGCTTCTAAGTTATTTCAAAGTTCTTATAAGATCATTGCTTTTCACATATATTTTGGCTCCGAATCGAAGGCAAACAAATTGTTAAGCTCTGATCCGCGCTTGGACTCAATACTACAACTGGTTTAGCTATTTATTTTATCTTTAATTTGCTTTCTAACGTTATTAATCACTTGTATTGGATTAATCCACATATCCTTAAAACCGCGTATAAATTCAATTGTTATCTATTTTTAAGGGTAAACAATAACAAATCCATGAAACAAGAGATTAATTATTTTGAACTACAACGAGAGAGGTCTTGTAGCTTAGTTGATTTTGTATCCGTTTAGTTTACGGGGTATTGAGTTTGACTCCCAAAAAGAGCATTTTATTTTTTTATATTTCACCTTGATTGTATTTGTTGCGCGAACGAATACAATCGATCCAAGTTGTATCCTTTGTATCTGTATACAATCGATGTGAATACGATTACACGAACGAATATACCCCTGTATACAATCGATGTGAATACGATGCGCGAATGAATACAGTTGATACATACTATATTTGTTGCACATTTAAATACAAGTGATAAAAAACGGGTAACAATTGAAAATTCCTCTATATTTGGGGTGTGTTTGGTATAACGGAAAATGTTTTCCAGGAAAATATTTTCTAAGAAAATGTTTTCTTGGAAAACAAGTAGTATTCATTTTCCGATGTTTGGTACGCAAATTAAGGAAAATGACTTCTCAAGAGTATTCATAAATAATTTAGATATAATAAACATGAAGCCATAAACTTTCAAACCAACTACCTTCCGAACCCACAAATTTCATAGAGGGTGTTTGGCTAAGCTTATAAGCTGGTCAAACTAGCTTATAAGCACTTTTAGGCTTATCTACGCGTTTGGTAAAGTTAAAAGTGCTTATAAGCCAAGGGCGCCAAGTGCTTATAAGTCAAAAATAAGCCAAAAGCCATAAGCTGGTCACCCCCAACTTATGAATTTTTAGCTTATAAGCACTTTAAGTTTGACTAAGATTTTTATTCTTTTATCCTTAAAATATTCCGTTTTAGAACAAAACTCCTACATCGATATTCATTGCCTCAAGTATTTTTTCAACCTAACCCCCCCCCCCCTCTCCCCCGCCGTCGCCGCCTCTTCAATTCTGCAATTCTCGTTGTCTATTTAAGATAAGCAAATTCTCTATTCCTTTGCATATTTATATCTATGTGATTGTGTATTAATCTTTGAATTGTATGTAATAAATAAGGACATGTCAATTTTTTTGTGTATTGCTTTCTAAGTGTTGTGGCGATGAAGACAATGTTTGTTTCTCTTCAAATATTTTGCCATATTTAGGTTTATTTCTTACTGAGAACTTTTGTCAATTTATTAATTATTATAACCTATGATTATATGCTTGTCATAAAATAAATTACGTTAACCATAAAAATTATCTTATAATTGTATTTAAAATAAAATGACAAATAGAATATTTTGAATTTGAATCGATCTGGAATCTAAAATTTTAAAGAAATTACGCCCTTATAAGTGTAAACAGTTCTAAGGTTATTTAAGTCAATTTAACAGAAAAAGAGCTTATCAGCACTTTTTTATCAAATACTGCAACAACTTATTATCAATTTCAGCACTTGTACCCAAAAACGTAACTACTTATTTTTTAAATCAATTTTAGCATTTAAAAGTGCTTTTCAGCACCTAATGCTTATCAGGTACTTCAAATCAGCTAATCCAAACGGGCTCATAAACTTTCGAACCGCTAAACTTTCGAAACTGCGGAATTTCGAACCCGTAAACTTTATAATTTATGAACCCGTAGACTTCCAAACACATAAACCTCCAAGCTCATAACTTTGGAACTTGTAAAATTTTGAACATTTAAATCGATAAATAAAAAATCTAAAAAACTGAAAAATATTTTTTTCGGGAGGGGAGGGGGGCAAGAAAAACGAAAAATAAAATTGAAATTGACAAAAAAAAGGTAAAAAAAATAATTTTTGTTTGCGGGAGGGGGGTGGGGGTTGGAGTGGGGTGGAGGGGTTGTAGGGTGGGTGGTAACAGAAAAACTGAAATTTGAAAAAAACAAAGCCTTTCTTGGAGAGAGGGGTGGGGTGGGTTGGTGAGGGTGGGGAAGTTTGAGAAGGAGTTCTGAAAAATATTTTCTCTTCTGTTGATAAGGAAAATATTTTCCTCCAATTAGAGGAAAATGAGTTCGTAAGGAAAATATTTTTCAAAACATTTAAGCCAACCAAACATGAAAAAATTGGAAAATATTTTCCGAAAAATATTTTCCTACGTACCAAACACACCCTTAAAGTCGGACGGTAATGGGTTGAGTCCAACCGACCGATCACAATTTTAAGCTGAAGAATATTAGAATGTAACCAAACTACAAAAATGTTGATTGTCTACCCGCTGTTTGAAGGTTTAATATGATCGTAAAGAAAGTTGCTATATTTAAGGGTGTTTTGATTGACTTATTTTAAGTGCTTATTGGCTTTTAAGCATTTTTTTAATTTGTGTGGTTTTTGGCAATGATAAAAAATACTTAAAAGCACTTATTTTTAGGCATAAAAAGTATAAAAATAAGCCAAAAGCCAAAAATTAAATATTACCAACTTATGACTTTAGTTTTTAGCTTAAAAGCTAGTACTACTTTTTATAAGTCAATCCAAACATTCTCTTTATTCTTCGATGGGAAAAGAAGAAAGAAACAAAAAGTAAAATGTGAACTTTTGACTTTGTAAATAGGCTGCTTCGGCATTGTGACATCTTGTTTTTTTTATTGAATCGGACAGATTAATGAACACGGCAAAGCATGAGTATAGTATATTGCTCCTCCCTTAACCAAAGGTTTTGGATTTGAGCCCAGGGTATAGAAAAATCCTTGTTAGGGAGCGTTTCCCCCCGAATAGAGCCCTACGCGGTGCGAATTCGAATATAGTCGGGCTCCAATGCGGGTACCGAATACCGGGTGAGAAACAAAAAAAGATATGATTCTTTGGATTGTCCTTATCCAATTTACTAGAAGATTCATTATTCCTATATTTCACATTAAGATAGCTAAATCTCTTTCTATTTATTTCCTAGCACGTTTGGCCGACTTATAGTGTCTCTTAAAATATTTTGGTAATTAACTTATTCTTTTATGCCTTTAACTAGTCAAAACATACAATTTGTATTAAAAGTGCCCTCACGTAAGTCTTCAATCGTGTCATCACCGGTGAGATAGTGACTATAATGTTATAAATATTTACTATAATTTGACTTTTATTATGAAATATATATTGATTAGAAACACACCTTTATAGTCAAGCTAAACTATGCCCTTATTTAACTTCTCGAACCAAGTGTTCGAGGATTGCTTTATATGATTTTCCTTTGATTTCATTTCCGGGATTCAAATTTTTTGTTTGAGAACTCCTCTATAAACTAAAACAAAAGAATTCAAATTCAAAATATAATATAAACAAGGATGATACTCCCTCCGGTTCACAATAAGTGTCTAATTTGCTTTTTCATTTTGGTTCAAAATAAGTGTCCAGTTATGTAATCAAGAAAGAATTCAATTTGTTTTTACAAAATAACCCCTATGTACATATCCGTAAAAGGTTTTCTTACTCCTCACATTAAATGTTTAATTAGGGGTAGTTTAGTCATAGTAGGTATTTTTGTATAGAATTTAGTATTTTTTTTAATGGACGTGCTAAAAGCAAATTGGACACTTATTGTGAACCGGAGGGAGTAAGGAATAACTTGGGCTTCAATTTACCTCCAAATAAGAACTCCATTAAAAACACTAAAATGAAGGAATAAGATGCTGAACTAAGCTAAGCATGTAATTGGATTCCAAATCTGGTTTTGCTTCCAAAACTATAATTCCAATATCATATGGAGTAGTACACATTTCCCATTCAATATTCATATTTAAACAGTTGTTTGTTTGCAAAGTCAAACTAAAACCCATTCCATTCAAACCAAAAATATGACGGGCAACTGTTGGCCAAAACTCTTAAATACCCTCAAAAAAGCCCGTAACCTAATTCCCGTCGCTGCCCTCACCACCACCACCTCCGCTAATTCTCCCAAAATCTCCTCCATGGACGACCTTCCCAAAACCCTGAAAACCCGCCTCTGTATCATCGGCAGCGGCCCCGCAGCTCATACAGCCGCCATTTACGCCGCACGTGCCGAGCTAAAGCCGATTCTCTTTGAAGGATGGATGGCTAACGACATAGCTCCCGGCGGGCAGCTTACGACCACCACCGATGTCGAGAACTTTCCCGGTTTCCCTGAAGGTATTGGCGGTGGTGAGCTTATGGAACGGTGCCGTGCGCAGTCCGTTCGTTTCGGGACACAAATTCATACTGAAACTGTAACTAAAGTTGACTTTTCTAAAAGTCCTTTTGAGATTGTTTCGTCTGATAGGACTGTGTTAGCTGACGCCGTTATTATTGCTACCGGTGCTGTAGCTAAGCGGCTTGAATTTCCCGGTTCCGGCAATGACGGGTTTTGGAATAGGGGAATTTCGGCCTGTGCCGTTTGTGACGGCGCGGCTCCGATTTTTAGGAATAAGCCGTTGGCGGTGATTGGTGGTGGGGATTCAGCTATGGAAGAAGCTAATTTTTTGACTAAATATGGTTCTAAAGTGTATATTATTCATAGGAGGGATGAGTTTAGGGCATCGAAGATTATGCAAAGTAGAGCATTGAGTAACCCTAAAATAGAGGTGATTTGGAACTCAAGTGTAGTGGAGGCTTATGGGGAGAAGCTATTGGGTGGATTGAAGGTGAAGAATGTTGTTACTGGGCAAGTTTCGGATTTGCAGGTTTCGGGTTTGTTTTTCGCCATTGGGCATGAACCAGCTACTAAGTTTTTGGATGGGCAATTAGAGTTGGATTCTGATGGGTATGTTGTGACTAAGCCGGGAACGACGTTGACCAGTGTTAGGGGTGTGTTTGCTGCTGGTGATGTGCAGGATAAGAAGTACAGGCAAGCTATTACAGCTGCTGGCTCAGGTTAGTTGTTCGGATTGCTTTAGTTTATTGCTTCGCTTGCCTCAGTATGGCTACTTTTTTTTTGTTCTTGGTTGTGATTTCTAACCTTCGTAGAATTTGAATATCAAATAACTGGCTAATGCCCTTAGATGTTGTTGAATGCTTGTGCATATTTCTTTTGTTGATATTTGGTCTAAAACGTTAGTAGAGGCATGTTTCATTAGTATAGCAAACTTTTAGTTTTATCAATGAAGTAGAGAATGCACTCTTTGCAGCTATCCTGTCTGGATATTTGCTGAAGAAAACCAATTCGTCAAGTGACATAATGGCTGTCTTTTATTGTGGTTTACCTTAGTTTTATAATTATTATTATTAACAATGGCTCCTCTTGAGCTACCTTAATGTAATATTTAGAAGAAAAGGAACGAAGAGCAGCCCCATCAGTGGCGTGTCAATTTGATTTGGTTATTGTAAGAGGAACTTCTCGATATAAGCAGTAAGAATAGAACGAATATATGATATGAAGAAACCAATTAATATATATGGAGATCGCCTTAGGGGGTGGCAAGGCACCGTGCTGCCTAAAGTATCACTTGAACATTAGTCTATGCGTTGTAAATATGCTTGAAATGTTCTTGGAGAGGTTTCTAGTGTAAGGACCTCGATCCCATAGCTTGGGTGGTGGGGCTGGCCTTGTGATGGACAAGAAAAAGGGTTTAAATGCAGTTTTTGTATTTTGTTCCAATCTCAGATTTTTCTTTGGTTCAGTAGCCATCACTAGCATAAAACAAGTTACTTGATAAATGATTTAAATTTAGAGAAGTGTTTTTGAAAAGAAAAACTCACCTGATTATCAATTAGACCTTGCCATGATTTACAAAACTTCAGATTTCTCATTGCTTAAAGTTGCTTTTTTTTTTTTTTTTTAAAAACTCTGCCTCGTTATGAAACCAATGCCAAGAGGATAATCCTTTAAAACAACAATTTTCTGGCTGGTCTAGATGGCATCTTGTCCGAATGCTTTGGATAAACCATCTTTTTTAGAAAGAAAGGTTCAGCATAAACCATCTTTTAGGGATTGTAAAAATGTTTTCGAACTCAGTAAGAAAATTAGTAGCCTCATGTTTCACTATAATCATAGAAATCGCGATTCTATGATCTTCTGATGCCTTCATATTAAAGAAATACCAGCATCAACTGGAATCTGAGCGTTGGTTAAGCCATTTACATAATAACGGGCCTTTTTGGTGATGAAAGAATCGGGATATTTTCTTCCAAAAGTGTGGGTCTTTTGAAAACTGTTTTACCATTCTAAGGCAGGATTTAGGTCCTACAGATTTATCTCTGACAGAACGATTTCATAGCAAATACCGAATAGTTAAACCAGTTCGCTCTACTGAAACCAGTTGACTAATTAGCTTCTCTGATTAAAAAAAAATTAACTCAATGAAAAAAATTAAATACTCAAGCTTTGAGAAATTGTGCATGTGATTCTTTTCAATATTGATTTTTCAAGTGGTTTAAGATTATGCAATTGTAAGATTTAGTGTAGTTTGTGGGTATGTCAATGCTGGGTTAGATCATAGTGTTTGCAGAAGAGGGATTTTTTGTTTAAAGAAAAATATGTAACAACTCATTCGTATTGTTTCTAGTACTGTTGTGAGGTATTCTGATTTCCTTGGAAGATATATAATTGTCAAATGGATAAAGGTTACGGTATATGTTCTATGACTTGTTTGCTGGAGCTTTTTTTTATTAAGCTCTGTTCTTCTGCTAGTTTCCGTAATTTACAGAAATGTGTCTAAGGGATCCTACTAAGTTCAGAACATGTTATTGAACTAGGTTTGCTTTTTTAGGATCTTTACATTTTTTTTGAGATGGAATTTTTCGAATCTTTACATAAGCATTGAATTTTACATTATGCTTGTGCAATAGTAATGTTGATTCATTTTTATATTTGGAGCATCCTTGTGAAGGAAACATTTTTCCTGATAAATTAAACTGAGAAAGAAACATTTTAGAGGAATGACCTTGTGAAAGAAATATGATATTTGTTGGGTGCGGTTAGTAGCTTCCGCATACATAGAGAGTACCTTGTGAAACAATTTGATTTTTGTTGGGTGCTCTATGTGATGCTGGTACCTTTGCAGTTGGTGCTTAGAAATTTTGTATGATGCCTCTTGCCTTTTCTTTTCTAAACATTTGTTGCAACTTTAATCAAGAATATCTCTCTATGCTAAGTTTGGTTGGATACTGATATTAACACCTTAACATTTTGATACTCGAGACGTTCACGAATTCTATTGTTGGAATCTCTACCCATACGAGACCCTAGATCTCTGAGTTATACTAATGTGAAAAAAATGGTAGGAAATTTTCTTCTCATGTAAAAGTTGTACACAATGTTTATCTGAAATGGCGATGCCTTTGGGGAAGCTAGTGATAATTGCATCAATATGTTTATTTTAATTGCTTGTGTTTTACTTTACGATTTTGTCATTATGTTCTTCAAGTGGAACAATTGTGTCTGGACTAAGCACCGTTTCTCTCGAAATAACACATGGCCTAATGTTCTTTTGTTCTTGTTTTGGGGCATGCTTGTAGGGTGCATGGCAGCTTTAGATGCCGAACATTACTTGCAAGAAATTGGTGCCCAAGAGGGAAAGAGTGATTGATTGCTTGGTATTGTTCCATTGAAGCGTATTTGAAATTGTGTTGCAAAAGGTCAGGATTGCATTGAAATCCATGTATTAAGAATTTGTTTCCTCGCAAATGTTTATGATTGAAAAGCATATTATTTAATTGCGAACCCAGTTCGTTCTCAAGCCATGGTTCGTTCTTTGTACTAAACAGTTGGATTAATTTGAGAGATGCAATAGTTATCATCAGCTTTGTTGCAATTTTGTATTGTTGCCACTTCATATTGCATTTTGTTTTTCAAGCACAATTACGTCAAAGACGTAGAGAGCCATTTCCAGAGTGGCTTTTGATCTTGTAATTAGACTTGGAATGATGTTCATTAATCTTTAACAAGTAGTGGGGGGATGTTGGTGAAGATCTATTTCGATAAACCTTACTCTTTAGAACAGGTTGTGATTATAAGTCAGAGATTTCATAACCAATTATAATATTTCTTTTTCAGAGAATTATGATTTCTATAATATCTCAAAAATTAAACAATGTATTACTTAATTCTTCATGTTGTGATGCCAATTTGAGTGCATGATAGTTTAGTATTGATTTTGCATTACTTTCATGAACATATTTTCGAATCTAATAGGACGTTGATAGCTTGTTCTTGAATCTATGTTATTGATGAGAAGAAGTCCCATGAACGATTAAATGAAAGTAAGAAAAGGAATTTAGGGCTTCAGACAAAGAAAAGGGGATTTCCGACAAAGGAAGATGTTTCGGATATAGCAAGGAATAAGAAAGTTTTATTTGCACAAAAGGACTTGAGATATAGAGCAATCACAACCATTGATAAAGGAAATGATAGATTTAGTAAGCGTTTGAACATAAGAATTGTAAAATTCCAAAAAATGTGAAAAAAATTTTCAAGTGAAAATGGTATTGAAATTTAGAGTTGTGTTGGACATAAAATTCAGTTTGGGTTGTTTTTGAAGTTTTGTGAATCATTTGAGTGAAAATTTTGAAAAACAGCTTTTTTGGAGTTTTTCAAATTTTCAAAAATTTTCAAAACGCATCTTCAAGTGAAAATTGGAAATTTTATGAACAAACGCCGATTTCGAAAAAAGGAGAAAAGATTTTATGTCCAAACGGGCTCTTAATCTCAACTATTCAGATCAAGTAAGGGACAACTGTGAAGCATTGGATGCCAAAATTATTCCCACAAATGTGAGACGTGTAGATAGCACTGTAAAGAATAAATACAGTTAGTTTGTTAATTGGTAGTAAATAAGTAACAATTAGACAACTGTACAAGACTTTATTTTCTTTTATGATTTTTTTATTTACATAGAATATGCAGAAGATATGTTGTATATATAGGGTAGTCTATGGAATAAAATTTACATAGAAAATTCTGCAGATTCTCTTTTCAATTCTTCATAATCTTACGTGGTATCAGAGCGGTGAGGCTCGATCCTTGAAGAAAGTTTTTCATCATCATTTTTGTGAGAATTTTCCATCACATTCATCATGCCCGACAGTACTCAGATCTCCCTAACTCAATCTGCACCTGAAAATGCAGTCACTATTAATCAGGATCATCCTTACTTTCTTCATTCATCTGATGCTCCTGCAATGACACTTGTCAATGCTGCTTTTGATGGGAGAGGATTTCAGGGCTGGAGAAGATCAGTACTGATAGCCTTTTCAGCTAAAAATAAATTGAGATTTATCAACGATTCATGCCCTGCACCTGCTCTCACTTCAAAAGATTATCAACCTTGAGCAGATGCAACGACATGGTAACCCTGGCTGCTGAACTCACTGTCCAAAGACATTGGAGACAATGTAATTTACTCAAAATCTGCAAAAGACCTCTGACAAGCTTGGAACACATGTTTGGTCAATCAAATGGAGCAAAATTGTACCACCTGAGGAAAGAACTATCTGGATTAGTACAAGGTACAATTGACATAGCAAGCTACTTCACAAAACTCAAAAGATCGTGGGACTCACTCAACTGTGATGTCAAATGCAATTGCCTATGTATTTGTGAAGGTAAGCAGAAATTGGAGAAGTCACTAGAGGATGGAAGACTCATTCAATTCCTTATGGGATTGAATAATGCGTATGGTCAAGCAAGGGGAAATATACTCATGATGAACCATCTACCCAACATAAATCATGCCTACTCCCTTGTTCTCCATGATGAAAATCAAAGAGAAGTCTATGCTAATCCTCTCATTTCTCCTGATTCCTCATCATTCGTGGTAGGGAATCAAGGTAATTCAATTCAAGGGAATTTTTCACAAAGGACTGGGAAGCAGACACAAAGGTTCACTGGACATCCTCAGAAGTATGGGAATAACCCTCAAAAGCCTGGGTTTCCACCACAAAGGACCTCAACTTTCAAAGGAAAGAAGACAAAGTTCAACCCTAATGTATCTTGCACCTATTGCAAGAAGACTGGACACTCTGTGGCTGATAGTTATAGGATCATAGGCTTTCCTAAGGATTTTGAGTTCACTAATGGGAAAGGAAATCAGGGAACAATCAGGAGCAATGGGGTTTTATCTGGAGAACAGGGAGAAGATCCAAACAATAGCAACTACAATCAAATACTGAATCAACATCTTTTTATAGATCAATTTTCACACTTGGTTCAATTGATCAAACATGTCAAAGTGGGAGAATCAGGAAGTTCTAGTTTAGAGATTAATGCAAATGTTGTAGCTGGTACAGTTATCAAATATTCTGGAACCTGTTTCTCAATTTTTAATACAAGCACCTGGATCACAGATTCAGGGGGTTTCAGAACACATGTTCTTTGAATCAAATGCTTTTATCTCTTTATCTCCTCTTCCAGTTCCTATTAATATTAATCTTCCTAATTCTTTCAAAGTCATAGTCACTCATATAGACAGGATTTCTATCTTACCTAATTTTCTTCTGGAAAATGTTCTTCATGTCCCAAGCTTTAGATACAATTTACTATCAGTAAATAGATTTTGTTAACAATTTTATTGCATTATCTCATTCTCATATGGTCAATATCTGTTGCATGCCCCTTTATTGAAGAGGCCTCATGTATTTGGTGAAACTAGAGAAGGATTATATCTATTGGAGCCTAATGCTGATAATACTAAGTCTATGAATCAAGAAAATGTAGTTCAAACATCATAACAAAATGTTTTTAGTCATGTTTCAGTTCCTTCTAATTTTCTACAAATGCAATCTCTGATGTAAACCTTTGGCACATTAGATTGGGGCATTTGCCTTTTTCATCAATGAAGCGTCTCAGTTTATTTCATTTCCTTCGAATTCTGAATGTTTCTGTGATATATGCCTCAAAGCTTGGAAAACTTGGAATCCTTTTCCTTTAAGTCAAATTAAATCCAAAAAAGCATTTTAGTTAATACATATTGATATTTGGGGTCCATACAAAGTTCCTACTTATAATATATTTAATTTTTTTTAACTTGTGGATGATTTCAGCAGAGGGACTTGGACCTTCCCGATTAGTACCAAAGTAATGCTTTTGGGGTACTAAAGAATTTCCTAAAAACGGTTGAAAGACAGTTTGGTGTGAAGGTGCAGAAACTAAGGACAGATAATGCTTTTGAGCTTGGGAAAGGATCTCAAGAAGCTGCTTTTCTTTCCTCTCAAGAAATAATTCATCAAACATCTTGTGTTGCAACCCCTCAACAAAATGGCATAGTTGAGAGGAAACACAAACATCTTTTGAAAATGGCAAGAGAATTGCTCTTTCTATCACAAGTTCCTATTTGTTATTGAGGTGAGTGTGGACTGCTACATTTTTAACTAATAGGCTGCCTTTTAAAGTACTTAATGGTCAGACCCCTTTCATGTTGTTTGGACATCCCCCTTCCTATGATTCTCTTAGAAACTTTGGTTGTCTTTGTTATTTTCTACTTTATCTAATGGTAAAAGCAAGTTTGACCCAAGAGCAAAGGCATGTGCATTTTTAGGCTACCCTTTGAGTCAAAAGGGTTACAAGTTGCTAAAATTGGACACCAAGAAGATCATTGTCTCCAGAGATGTTCATTTCCATGAATCCAAGTTTCCATTTGTTACATTTGCCCCTTCCACAGATCCCATATATCCTATCTCCCCGCCTCCTGATAAATCACTGATAAGTGGGGATTTTGGCTACTTATTAACACCTCTTTGCTTTTGTTTTAGTCCGAAAGTATTGATTTGTGTTCCCGAAACTGATGAAATTGTGCAAATTGCAGGAACATTGGAAGTTTGGTCTCCCATGATGAAATCCGACTCGGAAGGAGTGTTCCGAAGCACAAGGCAAAAAAGGGCGCAGATGCAAAGAAGTGCGGTCTGCAGAAGGAATTCTGCGGCCGCAGACAAAATTGCGGCTGCATAATTCCATCTGCGGCCGAACCCAAGATAAAGACCCCAACAGGATTTTGACAGATGTGCGGACCGCACATGAATTGCGCGGTCGCAAAACAGGGTCTCACTGATAAATAATTCCAAGTTCAGAGAGTGTGCAGAAGACCAAGTCCTGACGCCTCGCTGAAGTGCGGACCACACAATGTTGCTTCGCAGCCGCAATCCAGAAATGTGCGGCTGCATAATCCACTCACCTGCCAACTGAAGAAATCTGCGGACCGTACATGGAATTGTGCGGCCACAGAACCTCCCGAGGGGTATTTTTGTCAGCGAATTTTGGCCCATTATAAATAGACGAGTTTCATAAATTTAGGTCAAGTTTGGAAGAAAAAGCTGTTGTAGCCGTTACCTTTTACTACTTTAGGAAGTTTATAACCATTTTAGTGTTTTTACATTATCTTTTTCCATTTTAATCCTTGATTATGAGTTTAATTAGCTTTTCTTCTTTATTTTCTTCCATTTCCATTATGATTAGCTAGATTTTTACTAGGGTTGTAACCTAACCCTAGTGTGTAACCTTTGGATATTTAATTTAATGCTTGTTTATGATTAAGTGTTGATTATTTAGCTTATTTCATGCTTTAGTTATAGAATTAATGGTTGCAAACATTGATTCATGCCTTTTTGGCTTAGTTTCTACTTGAGAAAGAGGGACTTAGTCTAGGATAACTTGACTAACAAGGAATTTGGCTAATCGAGAGATTGATTAGCCTAATTAAAGGGTTCAAACTAGAGATAGTAAGAACGCGACTTGAACTCATATAAACTCTTTTGTTGGATACCCATTTGGACTTGAGAAAGCCAAATTGGGCAAAATCACTCTCTGATTGAGAGGTACTTC